ATCTATCCATCTATCTATCCATCTATCTGTCTATCATAATGAGTATGGGTGTTATTCTGATCAGGAGGCGGGACCCTCATGGATCTTCCGATCCAATGGGAGGGCTGGAAACATCACCACTGGCTGCTGATTCGCTTGGCCATGAAGACAGGCAATGTAACTAGTATCTGGTCATCGTATGGCGAGGGAGGACTGGCCGGACTGATGGGTCTGTCAGAAGAAGTTCACTCCCCTGATGATTTTCATGTCCCTCAGGTTTGTTGTATTCCTGTTGTTCAATGTCCTGCTTTTAAGAGCTGCTCATTTCAATAGTGAGGCTTCCTAAACCTTGACCTCTCTAGCATGCAGGCTAAGTGTAATGTCTTTTACGATTACTTATTCTTTATCACTTATTCTTGTTCCTTATTCCTGATTGTGCTGTGATTTGTCAGATTCCACCTATTCAACCACACGTTCCTCAGATCTCACAACCGGCTCCTCAACCAGCTCCACCACAAGTGACCCAAGTTCCACAGGCAAGATCTTTGTTTCATTTATCATTCGCTTAACTAATAATTCGAACTACCGTCCATATGTACGGTACATACCGTACAGTAATGCCACTATGTGTAGGATTTACAAATGGAGATGAATGAACTGAAAGACCCACCAATGCAATAAGGTTTGGCAGATTTGTCTAAAAATAAAAAACTTATGCCATCAGATTTGACAAAAATGTTTTATTATAATCACTCACAAATTCTACAAAGTGGCTTTAAGATTCTTGTTCAAGTGCAAAATGAATGTAAAGACATAAAGTGATATTCAGTAGGACAGCTGTCTGTTTTGTCCCCAGGTGAAAGAGGTGGTCCATCCACCAAAGCCAACTCCATCCACTGTAGTAGCCAGACCAGTGAGAAAAGCTCCTCCCACAACAATCCAGGATATGAGACGGTTTCCAGAGATCATCCCGGTCCAGGAGGTGATTCCTGAAGAGACCGCAGAAGAAGAGTCCAGTGCTCCACCGTCCGATGAAAAAGGTTGGATAAACACTGAACGCAGCTAGTGCACACCCTCAAAAACCACAGAAATATATAATACTGTTTAATACTGCACTGGAGCTCCTTAAATCCCAACAGAGGGCTCCTTGAATCATCCTTGAATGCATCTCAAACTATCGTAGTGTCAAAGTACACTAAGCATACATGATGACATGACAGATGGTTTGTTACAATGTTAATACAACAAATGATGTGTCCTTGAATGCTGACTGTCGTATTGCAGACCAGCTAACAGTATAATTATTATGACTTGAGCCACCAGACATTTCACACTTTTATCTATTACTGCGCCACTTATTCTACTTCATACATTGTCCACCTTTGACATGGCTTTGTTTGACATTCCAGACTGCACAAAAGCCTCCATTGCTCAGACCTTCTTTCCTGCTATGACCATAAATACGAGGGGGTTTTAAGCCATTTGGGGGCAGCAGAAACAAGCTGTCACCACAATGTTGACATCACTTTATCAAGTTGATATGTCCTTGTACAAGTAGTCATGTGGTCCATTGTTAATATAAAAATATTGATTTAAGTTTGATCATTTAAGGTATTTATTCGCATGCAGAGTAAGTGTGGAAATGGAAAGTGTTGCTGTTCCATAAACAACTATGCATTTTCTTTGCAGAATAAAGCAAAACAATTTTTTGGTCACAAAGTTTATATAAATACATACACACTGAACATACCATTGCTAATTAACTAATCTACCATTAACTACCACTGCTTAACCTAATCTTTTAATCTAAACTGAAATGCTGATATGTGAGACTGGCATAGATGTTAATTTATTCAGTTTTAGCTAAAGAAAAGTAAGCTAAAGTATTTATTTCTGATAAGCATTCAAATAAATGTATTTTATACCCTACCCTTTTTAATTTTTAATGTTATAATACAAATCCTTTCATTGTAGAAGGGTCTCCAATAGGTTTTGTTTTAAACACTTCTTCGTGATTTCATTTTCAAAGGTGATGAGGAGTTTCAGAGTGCTGCTTATGGCTCACCAACACCTTCATCTCCGCTGCAACCAGGAAGCCTCCGCCACATCGACAGCAACGCCGGGACTCTGACCGAAGCCTCGTCCTCTGTGGGTTCCCTGGACATCAAGACTCCTGGCTGGTCACCTGAGCGACGTTCCCCTCTCCTGCTTAGCTCCCCAGAGAAAAAGCCAGCGATACCCGGAGAGTCCAGCACCACACTCTACTTCAGCGCGGATGCACAGTCTCCCTCCAGCGGGAGCTATCTTGGGTGGGGCTCCGAGTTGTCGCCCATCTCCACCTACAGAAGCCCCTACCGAATTAGGGAGGCTCGTTTTATCACATCCACCCCACGGCAGGAGATTCGAGCTGGGGCTGAAAGTCCAGGCTTGGCTCCTGTTGTTATCATCCCTGCCACTCCAGGTACAACACCCGGTGGAAGCCCTGGTGCTTCGACCCCTGCTGCTTCTACATCTGCTGCTTCAACACCTGCAGCTTCAACAACCGCCGCTTCGACTCCTGGTGCTTCGACTCCCGGTGCTTCAACTCCTGGTGCTTCAACTCCTGGTGCTTCGACTCCTGGTGCTACCACGCCTGCTACTCCAATCGTTCCACTCACTCCAGTCATCTCCCACGCTCGCAAACAGATGGTCCAGTTTGTGGACAGTAGAGAGAGGGCGGTGTAAGGAGGATGGGGGTGAAGGGGAAGGAAAACCTGGGTGGGGTACCTTTTTCAATTTAGCTTTTAAGGATATACCATCAATTCATGCATAAACCAACTTGGGGAAGGCTTGGCGGGGAGTTTAGGAGGCCTTTTCAGCTCAGTTCATTTGAATCAGCCATGGAAGGTATAAAGTATTATTTATGTTTGTCCCCCGACAGATACAAGGGTTAAAATTTAAGTAAATGTGGGTCTGTGGTAGCACAATGGCAAAACATTTGCCAACCACTGTAATTCTTCATGGCGGCACCTCTGGCCTTGTTGTATGTTCCACTTAACACATTTATCAGTGTTAATGGGTGGGAAGTCAGTGATGGACCAGGTCCTTGTTGCTGCACTAGCAACTCCTAGTTCATCGGAGCACCTGCTGGGAGGAGGATGTGATAGTATGAACCTCCTTGCATGCTACGAGCTCCCGTTGGCATACTGCTTCCTACCGAGGCCACCAGAGGAGTTAGCAGTGACAACCACCACTATAAGGGATTCCAGATTGAAGGTGGGGGGGTATTGGAGATCAGTATTTATGGATGATTGGATTTGGGTTACTAATAAAAAGACAACACAGATAAAAATTCACAGGTGCTAATGAATGTGGAGTATGACTTTCATTCATAAACTCTTACACTTGGTAATTTTTAATCATTATAAACTAACCACTGAAAACCTATAAAGCAATGACGCCTCTAGCTTATTCGAGCAGTGCAGTCAGCTGATATTACCTCTGAAATTTAGGACTAATTGTTAAAGTAATCGTAATTATTATGATGACATTTGAAATCACAAAGCATTAAACGATGGCGATGTCATTAAAATGAATGAATTTTCTAAATGAACCAGGTAATTAAACTAGTTTACAACAAACAAACATGCTGTCCACCAGGCTGCTGAGCAAAAACTCCTGTAACACCACTCGCCGATGCCGGTCTCAATGAAACCAATGATCTGTTATGAAATATATAAATAATGCGCTCTTATGCAATTCCAAGTCGTTGATGTCGTTGATTATGCTAGCAAACGCTTTAGACGACGTTGAACATCCCATTCAGTTTTCAGGAATCCACTCATTCATCCAGTCAGTCAGTTACTCCCTGTGTGTACAGTATAGTACATCATTGGTGTTTACACACATTACTGAAACATACAGAATTCATATTTATCTGTAAAATAGTCAACTTGTTACGTTGATGTATCTGTTTTTATTTTCTTGAAACTATCAGATAAGCAAATGACAAAAAGGAAAGGTTTGAGAGAATAACATTTTATGAATTATATGCTATGCTTTCCTTTGCTTAATGTAACTGCAGTAATTTCAGTCAGTCAGCCCTTTGCAGCAGGAACGGTACAGTTAAAGTTTATTGTTAGCCAGTAGCTGTAGCATGATATTCTGTAGAGTACACTACAATCATTACATGGATTTATTAAGGGGAAATTCAGCAATATAGAATATTAAAGGAGTGTAAGCTGTTTCTGTTATTACATGCATTTTTTTTATTTGCCTTGTTTTTGTCTATTTTAGTGATCAGATATTTGATATCAAAACATATCATTTATGTTTTGACTTTGTTAATGACCCACTGAAATGCTATAAAAAGCTAAATTAATACATAAATAATCAAACAACGTTTTCAGAAAATAGACAAGATCCCTGATCCATACATGCTCATTCTTTCTTGACATGTAAAAGATATTTTCAAGGTTTGATCCTTACCAACAAGGGACAAAAGGAAATATTTTAGCGGCAGAGAAAAGACACAGTACAACAAACAGTTTCTGCCCGACATAATTAATGAGTGTTCTTGTCTCTAACAATTAGGAGGTAACTTTAATGAACACCTCTGACAATCACATTTTGTTTCTTGTTTTAGTTGATGAAAGAAGGAAAGTGTATGAATGATGATAAGATAAGATGTATGATATATGATAATGAACTGGGGTGGCAGCAGTTCCGTGTACTTTGAATGTGAGTTATTATTGGCAACAAAGCCGTCTGTTGGGAGGGAAGTTAAGCTCACTTCAGTTATCTCACTGCCCGTCCTAACCCATAATGATTTTCTGACTAACTAGTGCACAAAATTCTTGTGTTCCCACTTTGCTTTAAATTGTTTTTAATTGGCCCACCACTTATTGATTGGTAAAAGGATTTACAACATGTCTGCTGCCCTAATTGTTAGCAGTGAGCATTGTTTTGGATTGTCAGTGTCCATTTACTGACGTTGGTTTTACTGAAGAGCACACAGCGAGTGACCTGTTGTCAGTAAAGCTTAAAGGCAAATGTAATAACGTTGTTTGTGAAGAATATATACTAGCTGTTAAAGAAAAACCTTAATCAGCTGTAGACTTTGCAGTAAACATAAAGCCTAAAATGGGTTTTGTCAGACATAGATGTGCTGTCATAGTACACAAGCAATGTTACACTGTTCTGAAATAAATGGAAATTTCCACTAGAGAATAATGATTCACAGACCTTGTTAGTTGTAAGTTGTAAGTGCATTTATAAGTTTGTATTTGAAAACTGATACAGTAAAACACTAAAGCTAGTTTTCCAGCTAATGACACGAAACCTAATCCTGACATAGTCTTAAATGAATCATTATTACTGTTTCTCTTGTAAAGCGCACTACTCACAGATACGTGTTGTCCTTCAGCCTAAACATTAGTTAAACCTCCTACCTCATTAAAACTGAACTTCCTTCTGACAAAACTGATTTTATTTTTTTATTTTTATCACAGTGAGAAAATATAATTGCTCACTGAGCCTTTTTATTTTTTATTATTTTTCTTCTTGTAAACAAATATAACAACTATAAAGTAAGGTATATATATTTAATGAGCAGTTAACTGGTTGTGCTGCACTTACGAATATAAATTGTTTTATGGAACAAAGTACAAAGAAAAACATGCGTTTGGAGGAACCGCTTTATCAGACTGTCAAACTGTTATCCATATTGTAGACTGCGGCCTGCTGATAGATAAAGGAGTCACTGCATGTTACTCATCCATACAGGCATCCAGAGAATTGTACCTATTGCTTTAGAGAAAGAAGCACTTACTGTAACTACACACACACACACACACACACACACATTACAATAGTTAACACGTGCTAGAATGTATGTGTATGCAACAGCAATAAGCCAGCTAATTAAATGTATAGCGCACTAATTAAAAATATCCATGCACATGCTTTAGACTGCACTAATGCCTTGGCTTGATTATCATGAATCAGCGCTTTTCCTTGTAGTAAGACAGCTTCTCTCGTGTGTGTGTGTTGCTTTATAGTAGAACAATATGCTTTGCTTTGTGTACCTGACGTGTATGAAAATGTTTGCTTGTGTTTTCTAATTTGACTCATTTTGTATTGTTATTTTTCAGTGTTCTTTTATATTTGTTCACATTTACTGTTATAAAATGTGTGGACAGCCACGGTGCAGTTTCTCAAGGTTTTGTGCTGAAGTTTCACATGTGAACAATTTATAGTTTTCATTGATGGACTGGAATTAGTTTGATGATCGAGTGTGATGTCACTTAGTCACCGGACGGCCTCCATTTATCAAGATGCATCACCTCATCTCTGCAAGGGTTTCCACAGAGTAACTGTGGTTGTTGGTAGTGAGTCATTAACTGTGCTATTGATGTGACAAAATAAAGTCATTACTCATGGTCAAAGCTCAAAATGATGTGTTGATCTTCCTTTACTCATTTTCATTGTATCAATAATTGTATGTGTTTTAGACACAGATAGGTAGAAATGCATAAAAACAGTGTGAACGATACAGTCATGAATATATTGTAACTTCTGACTGAGAATAGTCACATGTACAGTATGCTGTAGTGCATACTTATACCGGATTAACCTGCTAGAGGAGCATTAACCACCATTCCTCCAACTCTTCTGTACACTGTGTGTACTATTTCTGTGCTATGCAATAGTTGTATTAAACACAAATAATAGGAGTTTTCACCAGGTCAACATAACATCAGCTGAAAGGTCTTGAACTTAATTTTGACAGGAGGGCCTCAAGATCAGGTAAGCAAAAGTTACCTAAAGGCTGTTCTTATTTTAGGTGCAATATAGGTTCTATATGTATATGTTACATACATAAATATATGCAAAAAAAGTCAAGATATAAAGTAATGTAGTTATACAAAAGCATAAAAAACATGACGAATGTGGTAGACAGAAAAGTTTTAATTAGGCAAATTCCTACAAACCAGATTCAGGTGTGTTTTATTCAACTTTATTAAGTTAAATAATAGTTTATTAAATTGAAAGAATGTGACTTTAGTTAATCTGTCTGGTTTGTGTGCTTCTGGTCACTTGCACTTTACTTTAAAATGAGGATCTGTTCTTGCACAACTAGCTTGTTAATACAATGATTAAAGGTATGCTGTGCTTACAGTATTTGTTCCATCTCATCATTCTGAAAGTCAGATGACTAAAAAGGAAGAGAAAGCAGCTGGATGATCAGCATGTTCTCTGTGGTCAGTGATCCACAGCACGGTACAGCATTAAGGACAACTTTTTGCCACCAGTACAGTTACAAATCACAAGTTACATACACATATGTTGCTGTCCAGGCATTATTAAAAAGGTCCTTAGTATTATGTCTCATGTCAAATGTTTAACACATTAATATAGCATGAAGTCCATCACCTATTTAGTTAAACCAGACTACCAGGATATAGTATATATTTGACTGATATAGGGTTAATTAATCAGTTTACTTACTTTACTTGTTCAACTTAATGTCGAATAGTCAGTTTATTGTCTTGATTTTGCATTATTTTACAATGAAAATCTTACTTTGCCTGACTCCCTTTACATAACAGTACAATAATAAGACAAATACAACACAAATAGAAAAATGGAATAAAGTTAAAATATAAAATATAACTTAAAGTGCAGAACAGTGTACAGTAAACCTGAGTTGAATCTCATCTTCTTTAAATATTGCTATGAAACACAGCTGGTAGTATAAGAAAGAGGCCTTTTATGCATCTGTACGTGGGATTTATTGTCTCACAGTCCATAAATGACTCAAATTTTCATACATATATATATTTTACTTGAGAATCATTGTGGTGGCACAGTGCTACCTCCCCTGATTATAATATGCATGAGGGTATTTTATAATACAGAACATTAGAAATAATATAAAATATATACACTGTTGTGTCTATTTAAATTATAATGATATAAAACATAGGTCAAAAATGATAACAGTAATAGTAGAAACAAATGTATTTTCAATAGGTATTATGTGAAGTGGTGACAGAGACGGTGAGTTTCAGCACCACCTAAAGGTCAGACTGAGGTAGTGCAGCTCCACCCCGCTACAACAAACTCTCTCATCCATAACTGTGTTTGTACCGGTTGAATCCAGATTCACATGGTTTTTAAAATTACATTTTTACGACGAAATCATCGCTGATCTTACCCACCAAGACTCCCACCGACCGGAATAAATCAAAAAAAGGAAGAGTGGTGATGACTTCAGCTCACATGAGCTGCAGTCATGTGACTGTCTCACATGACTGCAGCAATAAAAGAAAGAGGCGGACCGTTTCACAATCACAGGTTGTTGACGGGCAGTCACTGGACAGAGGAACCTGGAGCTAAACATTCATCAGGTTCACACCAACAGCAGGTAAATAATTTATTTGTGTGTCTTTTATGTCGACATTAAAGCTGGTCTCCGCTCTTTAGTGTCGTCGGATGTTAGTTACAGGTTGTTTACACGGTGAGTTAACGGTTAAGCTAACTAAACATACACTTTAGCTCCATAAACTAATATTAGTCAGTAAACAACACGTTTAACATTATGTTGTGTTAATATTTTCTGACTGACATACAAAGAGCAGTTTGAGTCCTCGTTGCAGCAGCTGGTTGTTGTTGTGTGTCTGACCCAGTTAATGTTCAGAGGTGATAAGATAATAAAGGTTTGAACAGGAAGTGGAGCTATTATACCCAAACACACGTGTTTCTCATTTATTAATGATTAAGACCTCGAAATGATTCAACCTGGTGGAGGCCGCATCTCAATGAAAGAAAGAACTCAAAACCTGAAGTAAAAATAAATATGAAACATAATCTGAACTGTCACGTGCATTGATAGAAGGAAATGGAAAGTGAAACTGTCTTTATGAATAGAGCTGAAGGCAGCCATTAAGTACCCTGCTTTATCTACATAATACACTGTTGTACTGAGTTATAAACATGTCTGTGATACAGCAGAGGATCAGAGCAGGAGGGAGGTAAAGCTAAATGAACTTGAATTGATTGGTCTTTGTATAAAAGGCCACATATTTGACTGAAACACAGTTGATTGTTCAGGCTGTTTTCTTGAAGTGCTCCAATCAGGGCAAAAAGGGTGAGACAAAGGAAGTTTAAACATATGCAACCACAAGCTAAGCCCTGGTTAACTCTCAGGCAAAGGAATGAGGAAATCTGTCAGTACAAGCAGAACAAATAGTCAGATTTACAGTGCAGCATTACACATTTATCAGACTGTGACCCCTGGTTGATTTATATGTGCAGGTAAGATGAGAGGATTACTTCAGAGTCTTTCTTTTGAGAGGTACGGATCAATACTGATCAGCAGTTTCCTGTTTATTGTAGATGTGACAACAAGATAATTAAGACTATAAAGAGAAAAGAGTAGCTGAACACAATGTTAGCTGAACTCAACCCAGTGTTGCAGGACTTGTCATGTGAAGATCACTGGTTCTACATATAAAGGAGTTGGTGAGGAACTTGAATGCGTTTTCTCTGTGGCTTTAGCGCTGACTCACCCATTTCTGTTTTGATTTTAGACTTTGCACGTAGTGGAAATAATTTAACAAGCGCTTAGCCTTTAGACGCCCCCTTTTAAAGATGTGTTAGTTAGCATCAGAAATAAGTTGTCATCACACTTTTTTTTAAATTCAGAGAATTTGACATTTTGGAGATGTGAGAGATCTGCAGAAGAAGGGGCTCACAGCCCTCTATGACTCAGCAAGTTTATGTAGCCTTTGTCTCGTCTTGCTATGACAACCCTGTTGAAAGCAATTGACGTGAGACTGATTCCTTTGGGGCAGACAGCAGTGCAGGTCAGCAGGTGGGGGGGTTCACTTCTCCAAATCACATCCAAGTCATTGCTTCAGCTGTGTGTGGGCGTGTGTGTGTGTGTGTACCACTTCTCTAAAAACAAACAAACTTATCCATTAAATCTTTCGTGGCCCGAATGTGAATTGTCTGTGGTATCTGAGCAATCACAAATGGTTTAGAGTGACCAGAGTATGTCACATGGTACTTCAGTGTGAGTTCAGGGAACAGATGTTGTTAAATGGGGATTTTTTGTTTTTTCTCTTTGCTCATGGTGCTTCATGTCATGTGATCCCAAACCAGTTTCACTGGAACTCATATTTTCACTGTCTCTCAGACAGACCTGAGGTGTTTTTCACTGGATTCTCTCAGGATTTTTGTGTAACAGAAACAGGACATGCCTGAACAGATGTGTTGATTTTACCAAGAACAAGACTGGCTCTTGTTGTGTTTGTTTGCGTTGTGCCAAAGTAAGCACTGAGGGTCTGTAAGTCTATTAAGTTCCTACATATTAAGTCCACGTAAATAGTTTTGGCAATAGATCAAGTTTAGTGTTAATCTTGCTTGGACTTTTAAAAGTCAACACTTCTACCAGACACAGGTCCTGCTATTCAGCCCTTACGACTGGCTCTTTGTATTCTACTGCATGTTGGTTCATCCAATCATGTTTATAAAGAAACACACTGTCTGCACTAGTATTGATTTTGCTGGACTCAGAACATCCTGCTTATCCTGAGCACACTCAATGCCTCTGTTTAATAGGCTACATTATGATCTCTAATGCATCCTTGTCGGTGCATTTAACCTCCTTTTATAATTCAGTCTCATGTCTACCATTTTAGAGGTTGGGAAGTATTCTTTGCAGTTTAAAGTGGGAACTGAAACCCAGTCTAATTATAGTTGTATAGCCAATGCACTGTCAGAGTAAAGTCAAATGTAATTTTCTTGTGTGCATGTATGTATTAATTCTAAGGAATTTAGTTGAAATCCCTGGACTGTTTATTATATATGTGTACCGGCTGAGGCAGGGTGCTTAATCACTGGAAAGGTATCTGACTAGCGTGACTGAGAATAAGATTTTCTCTGCTCTCTGTGAATGCATGTTCCACTTGTAGATGCAGCCACAGTGACGCTGTCTAGTCAGCTTTGAACATTTTTTACTTAGTCTCAGGAGTGTTTTGTAGTTGGGGAATAACCCTTTTTCAGTGTTTTCTCACTGAGGCTATTGTTTGTACAGTTACTGGGGGTTAAGTTCTTGTAGCTTTCTTTGTGAGACATTATCCCTTCAACATTTGTCACTTAAAGTGGAAGAATATAAAAATATACAGTTCCCCAAAAATTGCAACAGACTCTGAGTGTTAGGATTAAGTAATCATGGTAAAGTTAAGTGACTGAATCATAATTTATGCACTGAAATTACCGTAGCTCAACTATAATTTGTTATGTGAATTTAAAAAAAAAAACAACCTCTTCTTGTTTGTATTTTTAAGGCAAAATGTGGCGTGCAGCCTTCCTGTTACTAGCTGCCAGCTTGTCGGTGAGCCTGGCCAGACCTCGTCTTCAACCACTGTCCAGTGAGATGATCAACTACATCAATAAGTTGAACACTACCTGGAAGGTGAGTTTTATTTTTTATTTTTTTACTTTTGTGTCAGTGGTTATAACCAGTTCTCTTTGACTAAATCTCCCTCCTCTCCTTCAGGCTGGTCACAACTTCCATAATGTCGACTACAGTTATGTCCGGAGACTCTGCGGTACGATGCTAAAGGGACCTAAACTGCCTGTCATGTGAGTCTTCTCACACAATGTACATCCCCTAATTATACATGCACATTTGTATGCACAGAGAAGAAGAAGAAGAAGCAGTGGTTTCAGTGTCAGAGCAAAACTCTGTATCCCACCTGCAAGCACATCAAGTCTGCCTAGATTGTACTTGTAAGTTGTTGCAGCATAGAGTAATACTTGACTCTATACCGCTGTCTTCCTCTGCAGGGTTCAGTATGCTGGAGGCATGAAGCTGCCGAAAGAGTTCGACGCCCGAGAGCAGTGGCCCAACTGTCCCACTCTGAAGGAGATCAGAGACCAGGGCTCCTGTGGATCCTGCTGGGTGAGATAAAAACTCACTGCTCAAACAATGTGACCATATTTAACTTTAGCTGAAGATTTATATATTTTAAGGGAACAGATTGTCTAGGGAGGTTTGTTTTTGATAGTGAATTTGCTTGTAATTAGTCAAGAGTTTTGTATTCTGAACAGCAAACGACACCCTTTCCTTAGACGCCTAATTCAGATAAGGAAAAACTACTCCTAAATCGTATTTGTGCGTCTGTGACACGTCTAGTTTCTTCTCCCCACAGGCGTTTGGCGCTGCAGAGGCCATCTCCGACCGTGTGTGTATCCACAGCGATGCCAAGGTCAGCGTGGAGATCTCCTCAGAGGATCTGCTGACCTGCTGCGACAGCTGTGGCATGGGGTGAGAGGCAGCAATGTTTATTTATTTTTATTTTTTTCTTCAAATGTCCCCAACTAATGATTGCAGTGACCATAATCCAGAGCTCAGTAGCAAAGCATACTGTTTGAAATCTGAATTATTGGTTATTTAATGGGAGGATAGAATGAATTGACTCAATACAGGCTCACCAGTGAGTGATATGATATGAGGATATTGTATAGGAACGCACCAATGCAATATGCAGAATTAGTATTTGTGCCAAAACTATCCTTATTAAGCAGATTGGGTCATAGAGATCAGCCATAACATAACTGCTCCACTTTAACCAGAGTTTCTTCGTCAGTGTAATTTATAAAATTTAGTCTCATTCCTTTATGGTGGGCTGTTGACTCAGGGCCACAGCAATCCCTGGCCTCAGTGAGGTAATGACTCCACACAATGAACTATACAGATTTATTTTAAATATGTGAAAAGTAAGTAATGTTAATGAATTGGGTCTTAGTATCAGCAGACGCAGTTCCAAAAGGTAGGATTCAGAATCTGTATTGGGAGAGAAAAATATGGATCAGTGTCTCCCGGATATTGTATAGTGTGAACATTTAGATTCACAGTCAGGGAGTACACAGTGGTCGTTTGTAAAGGTGGAAACACTTTGAATTTTCTTTTTACTAATTCACTTTATAGATGTAATGGTGGCTACCCTTCAGCTGCCTGGGACTTCTGGACCAAAGAGGGTCTGGTCTCTGGAGGCCTCTATGACTCCCATGTTGGTGAGTTGTGTGTGTGTGTGTGTGAGAGTGTGTGAGACACGAGTGTAACACGCGTGTTGTATCTACAGTTCTGACACTATCTTTGTGTCTACAGGTTGTCGTCCCTACACCATCGCCCCCTGTGAGCACCATGTGAATGGAAGCAGACCCCCCTGCACTGGGGAGGGTGGAGAAACACCCCAGTGCCTTTACCAGTGTGAAGCTGGATACAAACCTAGCTACAAAAAGGACAAGCATTATGGTAAAAGGCAAAAGAA